GGAAACCAGTGAGTTTACAATGTTTATCACTTGAGTGACTGCACAGATTTCCTTCAAATCTAGGATGCATGCTAGAGTACCCTAGGAAATAAGTTTTTAAGACAACTCAGAAAACACTGGGTTTAGTAGTTTGAATGGAGCAAAATAGACTTGAAATTCAATGCTCTCTGTGTCCATCTGCGCATCACAGCACTCATTAATCCCCAGTGTGCAATGCACAGTGAAATCAAGCATCCCAAACATCAGTGGGTCCCCTTTTCTTGTGGCAGGACTGGGCTCTGTGAGGAGGGAGATCATTCTGTGCAGGGATAATGCAAACACAATCATGTTTTGCTGTTACCAGGGTGCTTATACACGTGCAGGGAGGTGCTCCGACACATTGTAACTACAGTGCATTGGAGCAGACTTGATTAATGTCCTCTGCTGGAGTGTGCTAATTAGCACGCTCCAGCAGCCTCCACATCTTGTGTGTCAGCATCCCCACACTTCAAAATGGCAGTGGGGACACTTTAACTAAAGTCTGTCGAACAAGCTGTAGTTAAAGCACCCCACCAAGATTTTGAAGTGCGGGGATCCTGATTCGTGAGACGCTGCAGGCGCTTTAATTAGAGCAGCTCTCAGTGCCGCTTTAATTAAAGTACCCTGCTGAATAAAAATGTGTGGAAATGTTCAAGATCTCTAAAGTTAACAGGACACTTAAGAATGCAAGCCTGGAAGGGGCCCACTCAGTCATTGAGTCCAGCCTCCTATTATGCTATGGCCAGCAAACACATGACATAATCACTTTGAGGGGCTGGTCAAGCTTCATCCTAAGAGCAGTCAGGCATTTTGCCTTCATTGCTCCCACTGAAAAGTTGTTTTAGAGCCAGTATGGTTTAATAATTTGGAACCTTCTCTTAATGTCCATCCTAGCATTATCCATGGCCAGTTTAGACCCATGCCCTACTCCTGCAAAGCTGGCTCTACAAATCACTGGTCATCAGTAACAGGTGCTCCAAGGCAGCAGAGGGGCTGTTTAAGAAGGTTCAACAGTAGGACATAACTAGGAGCAAATGAGATAAAATGGGTGAGGAGGCAGTTCGGGCAGCCTGTGAGAAGGCATTTCTTCACAGTGTGGGGCTGTGATTGTGCTGGGAGCTCTACTGCTAGAGACACTTACAGGCTGGGTTGCACCCAAGAATGGAGGATCAGCTGCAGGTGAAACACAGTAGTGGGTGGATGGGAGCTAGACCAGATGCAACTCTACAGCCCTTTTATATCACTGATTTTTATTGTTCTCCTCTGGCTCCAAGTCAAAGCCCAGCCCTTTTCCCTGTGAAATTACTTCTTTCATAGGGTGCTGCAGGTCAGAACAGGGGTGAGAGTGTTAATGCCATCCTGTTCCCTAGCAAGTTGGCACAGGGGTTCTTGTTATGGCTTTTTTTGCTAGGAGCAGATCCTATTTCACCTATGAGGCACAGAAGGTTCCTAAGTGCACTTCTGTTTTATCCTGTTTGAGTCCCTGTAAAATAGTTAATGCAAAAAAATGGGTGGGTCCTCCTCCTCCTCTCTGCTGTTTTGTGACTCAGTCTTAAGGGTGTGATGCCGGTGTTAACAAAGATAGATGCATTAAGAGTTTTCCAGGGACTTGAACAGGATAGAATAGAAGCACTCTTAGGCATCCAAGTCCATGTAGATGCCCAATAGGTCTGATAAGACCTGTTTAAGCTAGCTAAGAAAGCTCACCTGAGGTACCAGCGGTCTCCCAGTCCATACTCCCGCCCACAGATCCCAGAGCGAGGCCAGAGGCATTGTGGAAGTTTCCGCTCCAGCATGACTGTTGTGGCAACAACCTGCAAAATGCAGTAAAAAAGAAAATGATGTTAGCAAAGGGGTGAGAGACACCAGAAGAAAAGCATCCATCCTAGGAACAAGCCGCAGCGAGATCTCTGGCCCAAGTGTAGACACATTATTTCTCATGGTCACTTGTTATGAAGCACCTACACACGTCTCACTCAGCAAAGTTCCCAGACCCAACCTGTCCTGGGCAGAAGCAAATTCCTTTGCTGTAGTTTATTCCCATTGTAGGATCCCCTCCTATAAATACAGAGACACACACATGAATGCACAAGAGCCATTGCTAAGAACTCCACTCTCCCCGCATGGGAAGAACCCGCAAGTCTCCTCAGATGAGAAGGACTCTCAGAAGCCAATTTCGTTCCCTCCTGGGTCACATACATAAACTCCCACAGCCAGGAGCCCCAACCCTGCCCTCTCCTGTCTCACAAAGAGTCTCTGTACGATAGCCCATGTATTGTGACTATGTACCGCCCTCACCTGAGCTCTCCACAGCTCATCTCGCTCATGAGCCACACGCCAGTGGGTGTCCCCCATCATGGCAATGAGCAAGTTCAGCATGAGGAGGGTGGCGATGACAGCAAAGGCAGAGTAGGTGATGCCATACATGAAAGGCAGGTCCACTTCATAGTTGGCAGGGCCATCGATGATAGTGAGGAAGAGCTCAAAGGTGCTAAAAAGTGCCATGGGGTAGTTATAGAAGTGTCCTAGTTCATCAGGATCCTGGGTCTGGAAGATGATGTAGAAAGCTAGCAGAGAGAAGAAGTGGAGGAAAAGTGAGAGGAAGGCTCTGTTTCCACTACCTGCTCCACCAGCTTCTGACAACCTACATTAAGTAATGAGGACAGAATCCAGCCCAAACACTGTAGCATGGTGGCCACCAATCCCAGGTGAATTCATCCCAGATGCAGGAAGGCATAGCCTGTATTAATGGCTCTTTTGTGCACCCCACAAACTGTGGGAGTCACAGCACACTTAAAACCTGAGCGCAGTCCAGGGCTCTTCTTGCTATGTTCTCACTTCATGATGCATCCACAAATCACATCATCAGACTGAGTTAGCATAAAATAATCATGGCAACATCAGGCTGGGATTACTTATCATGACAAGGCAGGTACTAATCTGGGGCCACCCCACCCAGATCATGCAACATAGGACATGCTAGCCAAGGCATGAATGACACCATTTCTGCCTTTCTTCCACCCGCTGCCCCCATCTGGAGGAGATAGACCTGTTCATCCTGTCTGAGATGTTGCTACTACTCTAGAACTGGGCTCAAGGCCCATCAGCCCCTAACTCTTTTCCCTCCATGTCCACTTGGCTGAGATCCCACAAAAAGGCTACCTTCTATGTAACTAAATCTGTGACTTCACAGGCAGGTAATGTCAGCCCATAAATGAGAAGATAGGCTGGCTAAAACTGAGGGAATTCACTAAGAGAGGAGATAGAGAAATGAGAAGCAAGGAAAAGCCAGGAAAAGGTGGAGACAAGGAAAATAGATAGCAAGGAGTAGGAAATAGAGGAAAAATACAACAGGCAGGGCTGCAGGTCCAAGCAGAACCAGCAGTACATAGGGAGCTCCAAAACTTCTCTTCAATCCTAACTCATAAAGGGAGTTAGGGTCTGAGCAGCCCTTTCCTGGCAGCTGCTCCATAAAGCCCTGTCCTTTGTATTTCAAGAGCTTCCTCCTCAAGCCTCTACTATCTTGAAACTGCGTTTGTGCTGTTCCTTAAAGACTCCATCGATAATGTCACACCAACCTGATGCAAAGCCGAGGATCACCACTGCCATGAGCCAGCAGAAACGCATGAGGTCACCAAATATCATCTGCAGGTGGAACAAAGCAGCGGGCATAAGACCCAACAAAAGCAAAAGAAGGCAGGCGCTTCTGAGACTGAAGGGCTTTTCATATGTCTACAGAAAATAAGGCAGAAGGAACCATACAGCCTGACCACCTGCATAACACAGGCCAGAGCATTTCTTCCACTAAGCCCTGTATTGAGTCCTGAATCTGGTGTCTGATTGAAGCAGGCAGACCTCCAGACTTCATGTGAATACACCAAGGGGGGGAGAAGCCACCATTTCCTTTGGTAGTTTGTTCCATCAGGTAAGCACACTCCCTATTAAAAGAATGTACCTGATTTCTAACTTGAATTTATCTGGTGTCAGCTTCCATCCAGGGCTTCTTCATAAGTGTTACTTCACTAGGTTAAAAAACACTTTATGGTCTGGTATTGCCTCCTCAGGAAGGTATTTATGTGCCATGATCAGGCTGATTCTTGTTGATTCTTTTGGGAATCTAAACTAATTTAGCCATTTAAATTTCTCTTCACCAGGCATTTTTTTCCAGCCTTCAAACCACTTTTTGTCTCTCTCTGCTTTGTCCTTTCCCATTGTAGAACATTCTTTTTAAAACGTGGAAGTCAGAACTGGGGACAGTATTCCACTGTCAGGCTAACATGCACAGGTGTACAAATCAATCTATAAAATGCATCGTCTTAGACCAGTGATTCTGCCATGGCACCCTGGGTGTCATGAAATCCTTCTAAGGGCTACACAGGGTGCTATGCAATATTAGCAATGTTGGCTTTGCAAGTACCAATATATGATTCACAAGATAAACCCAGAAATTTCAAATAAAAATCTATAGCGTCAAAAGCATTCTGACCTGTTGTGGTCTTTCTGGGTTCTTTGCAACAGACAAATTGCTTTGTTATTCTTCCGTAATCAAAAAAAAAAAAAAAGAGTGAAAGCTGGGAGTTGGCATTTTCTGAGGGTGCCTTCAGTTAATGAGGGGTCCCTTGAGTCTTAAAAGCTTGAGAACCATTATCCTATACAACATATTTTGTTTTTACTGTGCAGCCCAGGTTATTTGCTATGACTGCTCTGTCCTCACCTCAATTTGACACTCCAGTCTTTATGTTGCCTGAACATTTTATCAGCAGCACTACTGTGCTTACTTCCAGATCACTGATGAAGACAGTGAATAAGACCCTTCATTGTGTGGGCCCAAAACATAAGCCTCCTCCTTCCCCCCCCAGCAACATTTTTTCTTTCTATATGTTCCAGACAACTGCTTAGGGAGCGGTTCTAGCTGCTGTTTAGTTCTTTTAGGTGGCTTGTGACACACTCCACACCCCCCACACCTCCATCCTGTTGTTGCTGCTGCCACCAACCCACTACCACCTCCTGAGCTCAGCCTTTGCTAGTTATTACATGGACCCAAGTGTATTCAAGGTCCAAAAGTCCAGACTTATTGTTAACTCTACACCCAGCAGTGGTATTTCTACTGTTGTATCATCAGCCCATCTACCCTGATCTCACTTCCTACCATCCCAAATCAGATCTATGTTCCATACAGGCTGGTGCCTCTGTAACATTTGATCAGGTTGTTGGTTTACTTCCCCTGAGCTGCCTGTTTCTTATCCACCTAGTGCTTGGTGGTATGGGCATATTCTATAACTAGGAAAGAGGGTTCTTCACTTGCTCTTCCCACTGTCAGTTTGGAGAATTGCCTAAAAAATATCTTCATCCTAATTATCCTTCAATATAAAGATCAACCGATGCATCTCAAGCAAAACTAAGGAAGTTATTCTCCTGCTCTTCTTGGCATTGGTGAGGCCACAGCTGGACTAATGCACCCAGTTCTGGGCACCGCACTTCAAGAAGGATATGGAGAAGTTTGAAAGAGTCCAGGGAAGAGCCACTCATATGATCAGAGGCCTGAAGAGCAAGCTATATGAGGAAAGGCTGACAGATATAGGACTGTTCAGCCTAGAAAAGAGAAGACTGGGGGGATTTGGTGGCAGCTTACAAATATATCAGAGGAGAGCATTAGGGGCTAGGCAAACAACTATTCACTAAAGCACCCAAGGGGAAAACAAGGAGCAATGGTCATAAACTCATCCATGAAGGTTTCAGACTGGATATAAAGAAAAACTTCTTTACGGTTCATGTGACCAGACTCTGGAATAGACTCCCAGCGGGGCTGGTTCAGGCACCTACCCTGGAAGTCTTCAAAAGGAGACTGAACGCACACCTTGCTGGGGTTATTTGACCCCAGCAGTCTTTCCTGGGAAGAGCAGGGGGGCTGGACCTGATGATCTCATGAGGTCCCTTCCAGCCCTAAACTTCTGTTAATCTGTGAATCTGTAAAATCCTTTCTACTTTACCATGTTTCCCTCTAGATCCTCCTTTTACATGTAGACCAAAGCCGTTCTCTCAAGACTCATATCCTAGCCCAGGATCCTCTGGGAAGGTGCTTCCACCTTGCCACATTTTCTGAGATATGATCTGAAGCGTCTGGATACCTGCTGCTTAGGTTTCATTTCTCCCGACACCTCTATCAACATCTCTTTCTAACTCACAGCCAGCCAGTGTCTTACCTTTTGGATCATGATGGTGAAGGGACCCAGCATCTGAAAGCCCCGGGCAAAGTACATAACATTGCACCAGCCCAGCACCAAGGCAAAGGACATGGGGACCACCTCTCCATTGGTGCTGGTGAGACGCATCACCATGGTGACCAGAATCATACAGGCGTAGGTAATGCTGCATAGGAAGAAGAGGTAAAGCCAGGAAAATTAGAACCACACACCCGCACAACATCCCCACCTGCAAACCCTCCAGTCTCTCCTCTACCCATCAAGAACCCCTACCATCCCACTCCATAGCCTGTGTCCACCCCAAAAGGGAGCTGCATCAAATATCGAGGGGTGGCACCTTACATGATGATGTGGAAAGGCCCTCCCAGGATGGTCTGCCCAAAGTACTTGGTGGCTCCAACTCTGAAGATATCTGGAATCTAAGAGGGACATGCTGTTTAAATGGATTCAGTCAGTTCACATTCACAGACAAGATTATGCAGTGGAACTGGATCCCCTTACCTCCAAAATTAGTATCACAATGGCTCCTATCACTGTGATGAGCTCCCCCACCAGCCTGACATCATCCTCTGGAGTCACGTAAGATTCCTGAAAGAGGCTCTAGTTAGTTAAAAACTGAGAAGACCCTTAAAACCAGATTCTCTTCCACCTGCTAGGTGCTCAAGTCCACTTAGGCCCATGTGTGAGGTCCTATTTCACCCCACTTGAGTCCCTGAAAAACTGTCAAAAAAAAAGGTGGGTGGGTCCTCCTCCTCCTCACTGCTTTTTGTGACTCAGTCTTTAGGCTGAGATGAGGCTGTGTTACAAAAGTAGATGCATTAATGCCTTTTCATGGATGTGAACAGGGTGACATAGAACCATACTGAGGTGCCTACCTAACATTTGTAACAGTATCTGGCTCTTGACTCCACCTAAACTGGGCCAAATCCAGACTGCAGGGCTCCTCACTGTGGCTGCTAGAGCTGCTTTATTGGCACCAGCAGTGGCCTCACCTCACCTCTGTCTTGCTGCAGCTGAAACAGCTGCTCTGGAAGCTGCAGCAGCAGCATTAACTCCTTTTCTGCTGTTGCCAACACAGAAGGTCCTTCAGTGTTGGCAGCAGCAGTGAAAATCTCCATGGGCTGAATGACCCACCTCCACTGGTCAGATCCTTCCTAGGCCATATGCTTGATGTTCCTGGTATAGAGGATCAAGCAGGACTATGGGAGGTGGAAAACTTGGTTTCTACTCCCAGTGCTAGCACTGGATGACTGCATAATTGTCTGGGCCAAAAGGGCCTTCTATTTGTGTGTGCATCTAGAAATACCAGGGACACTGATTTTCAGAGATGCTGAGCACGGCAGCACCCACTGGAGTCAGCTGGGGCTATGGGTGTCTGCCACTCCTAATGAGGTATCTCAAATTGTGCCCTTTGTAAACTGTTGATAAAATGAGAGACCACCACTTTGGGAAGAGTTTTCTCCTAAATGTTTCAAGTAGTTTGGATTCACAGAGTGCCAGGTTATTATTACTAATAATATACTGTACTAGTATATCCTATTATTATACTATAATATTACTATAATTACTAAGAGGGAGTGGGGAGGCCAGAAACAGCAGAAGAAGGTGAGAGGTGGGAAAGGCAGACTGAGAAGAAAACACAGGTTAGCTCTGGTTGAATGGAGGTATAGGCCAAATCCTTCTTCCCATCTGTCCTCCTGATCCTGCCTTCCTCTGTACCACACCTGGGCTTCTGCCATCGCAGAATACTTTATGCAAGTAGGAATAGTCTGGCACTGGGAGCAGTGGTGGCAGGGACCTCAGTGTGGGCTGTATCAGCCTGAAGGGGACACTGGCTACATTTTCAAAATATCAGCCTGAAGCCAAGGCTGTACCATCCACCTCCCTATCTACTGTTCCATGATTGAGATGGATTACAGCTTGCTCAAGTGTGCCCACCTGCACTGCACCCATGATTCTGAGTCAGTGCTGACCCCCAATTCCTGGGAAGAAAAGGGATGCAGGCAACAGCACCTGTAAATGGCTGCAGGGATTATTTTGCCTGCATTGGTCTAGAAACCCCTGTGAGCTCTTATAGGGCATGAGGCTCTGAAATGGTGCCAGAAATGTAATGTTGCACAGAATGTACCTGCAGCATTTTCTGGATATAGATGGTGTTGTCCCTCTCATCTGTTTTGTTGCTGTACCGTTGTTTCAGGGGCCGGTAGACACAGCACATGGTGAAGCAAATCATGTAGAGCACATAAAACAATGCCAAGATGCAGAAATAGGGCCGCCCATACTTATTCCACTTCAGGCTCACCAGCTCAGTCACAGGGGTAAGATCTAAGATCCGACGGGCCTGGGAGACAAAAAACAGACTTATCTCATTCCAGTCCACTGCTCAAGAAACAAACTAACTCACAAACCAACCACTGCCTGCACCCAGTGAAGTACCGCTGTATGATAAACTGAACAAGAATGGGCCCTTCCACTCTTGTGCCTGTACTTTTCTACCTGGCAAGTGCAGAGGAATGACTCAAATGAGGCAGGCATAGGCTGTGGGAACAGGTCAGAATTTGCCCCACTGACACACAGAAAATAAGCTGCCAGTAAACCAGTCCAAAGCACATTGCTGGTACATTCACTTTGCAAGTAACTGTATATCCTGCCCTGCCAAAAACAGAAAAACTGAGGATTGTAGAAGGAGAAGAGGCAGGGACCACAGTCCTGCTGGACACTCGCAAGGCTGAAGTTCTTTTCTTTCTTGGTCCCCATAAGTGTCCATTTTTGCTTGTTACATGGCATTTTTGGCACTTGGATGTCCTAAGATACACTATTCCTGGACACACAGCCCTGCACACATGAAGGACTACACAGTCATGACAAATGAACATTTTGTTGCTGCCAGTCTGAGTGCATACGTATGTCCAGCACTAGAATTATTCTGGATGTGTTAGTAAGAGCAGTGCCCTATAGACATCCAAAAATGTCCACTTACACAACTAAAGAAGAAGGGAGGCCCACCCTTGATCATAATAAGCTTTTCTAAGAACAGCCTGAGGCCCATATGAAAGTACACTCCACCGTGAGCTCTGTCATACCAGATTACTAGAGTGCTGAAGTGCTTTGTGATGAGTGGGATACATTACAGCTGAAGTACTTGCTTTGCCCAGCATACCTCTCTCTTCTTGGTGGTGACAATGAGTTCCAGGAGAGACAGGTCATCTCCCCAGGAATCAATCTCCGTGAGGTCATATAGGGTGGAGGTCAAGGGGCCAAAGGTCCACTGGATGTGCTTTCTTTTCTGCATAAGGTGCTGGAACATCTGGTCAGCAAAAAGGGAAGAGCTGGCTCAGACACCCTTGTGGGAGGCTGTATTCATTTGCCAAAACTACCTTCCCTTTGAAAACATCTCAGGACTTTAAATTTGCTTGCCTTAAAATAAGCTCTGAGAACACTCCTCTATGAAAGCCTTGCAGGCAGGGTGTTGGGCTGTGATCTCATCAGGTTCTCAAGCTAAGTACATTTGAAATTGATATGCTTGTGGATGGGGGATTTCCAATGAGAACCAAGCCATCTGTGGTGGAAAAATGGCTCCTTTCTTCTCTCCTCTAAACCAGCGCTGACCCAAAGGCCAATGCCCTAAGGCTATGGGACAGGGTACTCAAGAGGAGGTGTTTTATTTCCTAAATCCCTGCTGATCCCTCTCTGGGGTTCAGGACATGCTGCTAGAGATACAGGGGTTGGTGATCTTCTCCCTGAAGCAGCCCAGAACCAGTGGCCCCATACTTCCCCTTGCAGTGTCAGAGGAAAGGGGTTTAGGGGTGCAGGTTGTAGACAGTACACTTCCCCTCCAGTGATACTGGCCTTTGGTGACACTGACACAGAGCAGCAGCTGTGTTTCACTGCCTACTGCCTCCCACCCCGCTACCCCAAGGCCCCTGTGGGCAAGTGAATTCCAGAAGGTCCATATGTAAAACACTTTGGGATTCTTTGTCTGCATAGGAAATGTCTGAGCAACATCAGTTACTATTAGGAAAGTCAAGTGCCATGCACAAACTCACCACAGTGTTGCCCTCCACCCCAGCCAGCTTGAATGGAGTGAGCCCCTCATTGTTGGGGATCAAGTCCAGGGCTTCCAGCCCCCCACCACCCTTGTCATAAGAGAGGATCAGGTTGTACATCTGGCAGGCAAAGTTCTTGTTGGGCTGGAGAACCAGGATGTGAAGAATGGTGTTACCTGTCATGGGGGGATATGAGGAGAGGATGTTGATTGAGATGGGAAAAGCAATCACTTACTGATCTTAGCAGATTCTCTGACAAGCAGAGCACAGACCCTGCCCTGGCCTCATTGAATGCCTCATTGGCATTCTGCGTGACTGCACATTATGAACAGATCAACGGGAAATTATGGGAAAGCAGCTACCAGCTAAAGTTCTTCGAACTCCAGCAAGCTCTATAGACTGGCGGTGTTTTATCTATGCAGGTGTCTGTGTAAGTTCCAATTTAGGACAAGTGATCCTGAAACAGATCCATCTAGACACCTCGGATATCACTGCCTCACTAATTGCAATCCTTCTCCCTCCCAAGGGCTCAGTTAGTATCTTTCATTATTTTGAAACATTTAGTTCTTGCCTTCTTTCTTCACATAGTCAAGCTGCCTGTGATGTGCCTTGCTGCAGAGCAGAGACAGGACTCTGGGGTAGTGAACATCAGTAACAAGAGATGACTGGGCAAGCCTGGCATGAATCCTGGGCACTGCCTAAGGCAGGGGTGCTGAAATGGAGTGGAGGGGGGCACCTCATTCTCCTGCCCCCATTATGCATATTGACAGCCAAAAGGGAGGTGACATCTCCCCCCAGCAGTAAACCCCCAGCTGCTTCTGCACGTGCACCGATACCACTTTTCTGTCATGCCCACTGCTGGTATGGAGGAGGGAATATACAGTGTGTAAGGTGAGGGTATTGCAGGTGGATGGGGTGGGGAGGCAGTGCAGTATTGCCCAAGGCAGAGTACTGGCCAGTTACAATTCTGGTGAACCTAAAGGGAAATCGTTAAAAAGCCTGCTGGACATAGGCAGACCTGCAGCTTGCCCTCATTCTGGCTCTCACGCACAGTCCATGCTGCCCCATTTCACCACCCAAGATCCCCTTAAGGCTTATTTTGGACCATGCTTTTATGGAAAGTTCTGGTAAGTATAGTCATGGCTTTATCTCTGTCTCCCCTTTCTATGTTTCAGCAGACCTGCTCAGCCTCATGTGTAAGGCTACCAAATTCAGGCACAATCCTGTAAAGGGGGACTCAGAGTTTGCTCTCAAAGCATGTTGAGAGTGGCATCTTACCCAGGGCATCTTGTGCTCTGATGTCCGCTCCATTTTCTATGAGCAACCGTACAATCTCCTCACTCCCTCCACAGGCAGCAAAGGATAAAATATGCTCCCCTATAAGAGCAAGGAAACAGAGTGCAGAAAGTTAAGCCCACGAGTTGGGAGAGGAAGCAACAACAATCCCAAGCAAAGGCACTCTTT